GATTCAGGTGGAACCGATTGGTGGTGTAGCGGTCTATTGAATTCCATAATTAAGGAATGAGGTGCTTACTCCATTAATAGTTCGACGGGCCTCGAGCACTCTTGAGATATTAGTATTGATTCAAGTGGGAGAATCCTGATAGGCACTGGTGTCGATATCGATTGAGCTGCTAACTGCGATTAAGATACTAGTGTCGCTTATTGGATTATCTAAGGCCAGAGCGAAGCAATAACTTGCATCATACCCATTAGTATTTGTACCTGTTATGTGAGGTTTAAGAATGCTTCGACAAAGATGAACAAATGACTCGGGTTCACCTCGGGTCGTTGAATGGAAGTCAATATCACGTCAGTATTTGCGTCTAGGTTGATGAGTACGTGACTCGGGATCACCCCGAGTAATATTCTTATCCAATTAAAGAAAAATTCATGTGATCGCTTGGATAGATTAGTTTGTATTACAATATATATTGGATCTGTTTTAATAATATAATTTTCTTAAAGATTTATGTTTATCAATAGGTCGTGAGTCATAATCTTTTTTTTTCTTCTCCAATGTTTAATTAAATATATTTATTATTTTATTCGCACGTCAAGGCGTGAGCTTTTTGGGCATTTGGACAACGTTATTGTGCGACTCACCATCCCACGAGCTTCGATCCGCTTCGTTCGGTGACTTGCAACGACACTGCCAACTCCGGCGAAGCTGCTTTGCTCGTCGAGTCGGCGGCAGTTATCGACCCGAATCAAAATCCGAAACGACCGGCTCACGAATCCGGTCCGGGTCGTCACTCACACCGCCTCAACCGTTTTCCGAGCCGAATCAGAATCCGACCCCAGAAGCTCACGAATCAGGTTTGGGTCGTGACTTTAACGGTGCACACACCGCCTCAGACTCTTCATCACGCGGCGACGTCATTTGATGTCGTGATCACGGTCCATCGGATCAGATCATAACATCACACGGCGAGACGGACAAAAAGCGGCGTACTTCACCGCGGCGCACATCTCGTCACTCTCCTCCGCTTCCTCTTCCGTCTCCACCACCCACCGCCACTTAGGGTTCCGTTCCTCCCCTGGGTCACTGATCGTCCTCGCCCATGGCCTGCATCAAGAGCGCGCCGCGGTCGGCGCTCGTCGCCTTCGCGCCTGACGCGCCCTACCTCGCCGCCGGAACCATGGCTGGCGCCGTGGACCTCTCCTTCAGCTCCACGGCCAACCTCGAGATCTTCAAGCTCGACTTCCAGTCCGACGCACACGACCTCCCCGTCGCCGGCGCCTGCCCTAGCGACGAGCGCTTCAACCGCCTCTCCTGGGGAAAACCCCCCGGATCCTCTTCTGAGGAGTTCTCTCTCGGCCTTGTGGCCGGCGGCCTCTCCGATGGCAGCATCGGCATCTGGAATCCCCTCAAGATCATCAGGTGTTTGGGGGCTTACTTCTCCTTTTGTCCAATTCAAGCCCTGATCTTTGTGAAAATCTTGACTTTGCTTAGAGTATTGTTTGCAGTTGATATAACGATTCCATTTCAGCAAATTTGCATGTCTTTTAGAATACTAATGAGGAACCTGTTCTTTATTTGTAGTTCTGAGGATCTAAATGATTCTTCTGTTGCGAAGCTTGCGAAGCATGTGGGACCGGTAATTACCGTCTCATATCCGTTTGGAGTCTTTATTTAGAGGCTCTAATTTTGTCGTCTCATGTTGATGCATTTGTTGGATTGGGTTGGTTATGGCAGGTTCGTGGTTTGGAGTTCAGCACTCTGTCACCAAATCTGCTTGCTTCTGGGGCTGATGGAGGGGAGCTTTGCATCTGGGACCTGGCAAAGCCTTCAGAACCAAAATTTTTCCCATCTCTCAGGGTACGTATGTGCCAGGAGAGTTTAGTTTATGGCTGGATGATTTTTGCTAAGCACGGAAGTAAATAAGTGCTAACCTTAAGCATTACACATCGTCTTTATTGTCTTTAGGTATCTTTTCCTGCGTTTGAACTTTCTTTGAAGTCTCCCTCCTCCTATCCAGTGTCTCTTCAAAAATGATCAATTAAAATAATCAAAATAAAATTTGACATAAAAATAATAAAAAATTGATCGTATCATAAATAATTCAAAAATAAAAGATATTACATTGGTTATAAATTCTTATATTAAAATAATAAAAATTATCATATCATATCATAAATAATTCAAAATTGAAGGATATTACACCATCTGATCTCTATTGCTCTGAGAAGCAGCAGTGGGTCAATGAGTAGCATCGATCCTTTGAAGCATAGTCACCTGTCTGTTACTTTGTAAAAAGCCTACTCAGGTTAAAGCTATGGTTTTGATTGGCATGGTTTATTTCAAATCTAAACTAATGCTGAAATGTGACTCAGTATGTTGCTGGTGTGGCTTGTCATCCCTTATTGGAATGGGACCTTTTAGCTAAAACATGAGATGTTGACACACACACACACACAAAAAGCAATCCCAGGTCAATCTTTTTCTTCTTATCAGCAAAATATTCTATATTACGCTGATCTCGCAGAGAGAAAATCAGGTATATTTAAATTTGCTCACACTTGTTGGAAACTGAAACATACTTTGATCTTGGATTACCAAATCTGGATGGGTAACATCAAATCAGATGAATGAAAGGATGCGTGATTCAGAAGTCTTCTCCAGAGTATCTAGAGGCCTTATGTATTTAAGAAAATCAATAAAAAAGAACTATTGCTGGAAGCCTGGAACTAAACCAAATTTTCATGTGCATGGCTAATATGTGGAAATTAGAACTTGTCAACCACCATGGTCCTGTCAATAACTATTGCTAGAACTAGATCAAATTTTCATGTGCATGGCTAATATGTGGGAATTTAAAGTTGAAATGAAGAGGAGGATGAGGAGGCACATTGAAGACAGAGGGGGAAGAGCAACCTAGTGGCTGGCCGACAGCGATGCAGCAGGACGACAAAGGTGAGGTGCTGAATTTGCAGGGACAAGGCGACAAGGAAGAGGCAGAGGAGAAAGGGGGAGAGAATGAGAGAGAAAGGGATTTAGGTTATCTGGTGAAAAGATCAAAGAAAAATGAAGGAAAGACAATTAAAATGAAAAAGATGATAGGGGTATGGGATGGTAGGCTTACCATGCGATACTGGTTTTAACTTTTATAACTGTATGGTAAGCCCTATTCGGTAGGATTACAGGGTGATAATCTTAACTCCAACCCGGATCTGATGAAATTGCCCGAACCGTATCCCATCTACTGGTCGGTAAAGACTCATCTCATCCGATACATACCGGCTAGTTTTTTAGTCCATGTTCTGACCATGTCAAAACAATTGTCTTCAGCATTTTCATATCTCCTTTTGTTCTATTGCCAATTGGGTCTTTGGTTTTGTCTCTCAACAATTGTTATCTCTGTATTTATGCAACTTTAATGAAATAAGCAATAAAATGATATCTACAATTTCTTTTGAGAAATGACCTCTGTGGCTTTTTTAAATTTTAAATTCATAGTCTTAAACTGAATTAGGTTAATACAAATCAACATCATTTAATATCAACCTTGATATTATATTCATGTGTTTGTAACAGAGTGTTGGCTCTGGAGCTCAAACTGAAGTTTCCTTTGTTTCTTGGAACCCCAAGGTTCAATATATATTATCATCCACATCTTATAATGGGATAACAGGTGCTTAAAAAGTTTTATTATTATTTTTATCCATTTTTACCTTTTTTGGGGATGTAAATGATGCATATTTTCTTATCATCGGACATTTTTCTATTCCAGTTGTTTGGGATCTGAGGCAGCAGAAACCCCTCACAAAGCAAGTTTCTAGTTCATTAAATTGATGTACTATGAAAATTGAGCAAATCTAATTGAACAGCTAAGTATCTGACGCCAATGCTGATTGAAATGTTTGTATTTCCAACAGCTTTGTGGATTCGAATAGAAGGAGGTGCTCTGTCTTGCAGTGGAACCCTGATGTTTCAACTGAGTTGATTGTTGCTTCAGATGATGATAGTTCACCTTCTCTTAGAGTAATGTGCCGTGATATTAAGATTGTGATCATTTTTATATTAATTCTTTAGAACAGTTTTAATAGCTGTCTTCACATAAAGTCAATCTGAAATGATATAAATGTATTGGATATTTGACTTTCTTTGATTTAGTGTAGAGATTTTGATCTTTTTCTTTTGTTTAATTGAGAACTATTGTTTTATATGTAATTAATAACTGTAGCAGAAAGATTTTACAACTTTGTTCATTTTCCCTTTAAAGTAATTAAAAATTCAAGTATTGTCTAGCTTGAATGTATTTTGATTGCTATATTTTCAATTCCTATTGACAGGTTTGGGATGTGAGGCAATCATTATTACCAGCAAGAGAGTTTGTGGGGCACACAAAAGGTTCTATTACACGCCTTTTTTTAAACATCTTCTATTTGTCTTCTTTTGCTTATTTATGACTCGATTTTTTAAATTATTTTATGAAGTTAATTTCTAATTGTGAACAGTTTCTGTTTTTCAGCCACTTAAATCTGTGAAATTATCTTGCTGTTAGTAATTTTTATCTTTTTCCATATGAGCACCTAGTGTTGAAGCTTATTAGAAACTGCATCTTTTGTATTCCAAAGTCATACAAGTTTTATTTAATTTTATCACTCTCTGTACCCCACAAGTTATTGTTGTGATAGTAATAGAAATCAGGCAAGCTTGTACTGGTGCATTGCTTTTTTGCAACTTGTGTCAAATTAACTCTTTATGTAGTAATGTGTATAATATTAGGTAGGACATCTGTAATCAGAAACACTCTACTCATTATACCTTTTCTGTGGGAGAACTAATTACTAACTTTTGACCAAAAGCCTTTTAACTTTTAGTGGATGATTGCATCAAAAGATGTGGTTTACGAATGTTTGAAAATAGATGTTTGGTTTCAATATTGACTTGTTTGATTGAAGACATTTTGCAACTCATAATGCACTAGATTTGAGTTGTATGAAGAAAAGACTGATTAGTCTTATGATTAGCATAAATGATTATGTAGAGGACCTAACTTATGCTAGTGTTTACTTGGATTTGAATTGCTCTTTTGGACTAAATTTAGCTGGTTCATATAATTCAAGAGATGAAGAAGGGCCTTTGCGTTAAATGAAGCATATGTGAAGAATTTTCTCATGCATCATTGTTTTGTTTTTTTATGCTGGATGTTGCAGTTGCAAATTGCAACCATAGAGTTTAGACGCCAATGTAGGTAAAGACAATATAGAATCCTAATATCCAATGATTAAGTAAATTCAATTTAGAGAGGAGTTGATGAGATCAGTGATTATGCAAATTTAAGTAACAATGAGTTTATTAATGGAGTTTGAGTAAAAGGGTTTGAGTTATCGAAGAAGGTGTCTTGACAATCTTGACCGATTTAGGTTTGTAATCAACTGTGGTGTAACAGTTTTGATGATGTTCAGCATCTATATGTTGTCATTGTTAATTAAAGCTTGAAAATTAATCTTATGAATGTATGGAAGCCCATAGGAGATTTGACCTACGTGCTCATTCAAGTGGAAAGAAGAGTAGGAGAGAGAGAGAGAGAGAGAGAGAGAGAGAGAATTATCCACTAAAATGAAGAATCATATATTCTTCCAAAGTCCAAACATCATGTTGTTCTCAAATTTTTTAGCCCATTATACATCTGAAATAGGAACCACCGACACTCATTCTTACTGCAGACATGCCCTACACTGCCCAATGTAATTTATAATTGGTCTAATTCATATGTTGGAATCTCTAGCATTGTTAGCAAGGCAGTTGGTGATAATTTTCTACTGTGATAAATCATAAACTGTCAATCAACATGTTCTGATTATCCCGGTCACGAAGCAAGAATCTTATTCCAATGCTGCATGTTGTCCAAAAAAAAAAAGGGCAAAACCAACTCAAAACATGAAGAAATTAAGAAATGTAATCCAACAATCCATATTAATTAAATTGATACAATGCAAAGACTGGTCATTGAACTTATGTCCACCATTCCTCATCCTAAATTTAAAGTAGTTGACCCTTGGTTTGCGTCAAGGATTTCCTAATTGTCATGAACCTCACCATGATTGGAGTTCAATGCTATACTGGTGAGACTGACTTGACATTTATATGCCATTCTTTTTGATAATTCTCGTGATTGACAATTATGCAAGCGGAACATAGAAACTTTTAATCGAAGCAATGACTTGGAATATATTGTGTAGTGGAGTTAGCAGTTAAAATCTTGTCCGTGGTTAGTAAGATGTTTTTAAATCTGGACATTGTGGATCTTCAAAAATTAAATTATCTGTGTATTTCTGACCATTTTATCCAAATCCACTTTTCAATTGTGAAGGATTGCAATATTTTTTAAAAAATAATTTTTTGAATTTTTTTAGCTTAATCCACTTTTCAATTCTGAAGAGATCATAATATTCTTTACAAAATTGATATTGTTAAGCTCTTATGCTTCAGAGTCAGTTGAGCATCTCAGCCTCTAATTATGCATCTTTATGAGATCAATCTCAGTATAACTTGTGTTATATAGTGCTAGATAAAATTAATTAAACCTCCTTGATACTAAGGTTACATCAGGGACTATGAGGAACATATCTGGATGATTTTTTTGACTGATGTATTTGTTTAATTGCAGAAATAAAAAGAATAAAAAAAGATAAATGGAAACTTGGAAAGATAATATGAACACCAGCAGCAAAAGGGAACTTGTATTTTGTTGAAAATGTTTAAATTTTCTGACTTTTCTCTTTCTGTTGTAATGGCAGTTTGTTAATTGATATTTCAATTTCACTGCCTAATACAAAATACAACTGATACATGAATTTCTACTTGCTAAAACTTGATGTTTCACAAAGTCCTAGGTCAAAAGATATGTAGATATTTCTGAATTTAAGTTGTCATGACAAAGACTGCTCATTGTAGTTTATACCCATATAGGACTCATATGAATGCATTTTGCTGGAAATGGAAATCTAAAACCATTGCTCAAAACCATCAGAAGAATAATGAGGATATCAACTGAGCTTCGAGGAATTATAAAACTAATCATAAGCCCACGAGTGAGAAACTTGGAGGCTCATTGTCTCAAATAAAAACTGATGACAATTGAACCTAAGACGTGGCTACTTCAACTAATTAAATCGCTCCGTAATTCTAGTTGTTTAAATAATTATGTGGCATTGTTTAGAACTATTTTAGCCATTATTACATGATTGCGCTGTTTGCCTAGTCTACTAGTGTTTCAACAATACTTTGCAGATGGGTTGTGTTTATTGAGGTAAGCTAAGTGATCTTCTAGGATGTTTACCTGCATTCAACTATTGCATCTAATTTCTGCTAAACTTGGTGATCTTTCAACAACTGTACTATCTTCTACCATTCTCTTGTTGTCTCTGCTTGCCAATTATTTTATTTATTTCATTTTTTTTTTCCTTTTTTACATTTCCTATGTTCTATAACAATTACAATGAAATTTCAACTTGTTCATATACACTATAATCTATCATACATTAATATGTAGCACTGACGATGAGCATATGACATTGTTATAAATGTAGAGCAACCATCTGTATTTAAAATTGAATCATCCATTAGAATATATAGAAGTCCATATTAATGCATAAAATTGTCTAAAGCTTACAGATTAGATATTGTCTAGCGATCCTTTAACCATTTAGATGGCCTTGGTTTCATGTTTTCTTTTGGACAAATATGATATGCCTAGATCACTTTATTTTGATATTGCAAAAAGTGAACTCTACTTACTGAAACATGCATATCCATGTGCCTTCCTTTTTTGCATGTTGTATATCTACAGTAAATTTTACATTCCCTAAGCTTTATTTTTAAAAAATCTGAAGGCTCTGCTTTCCCTCACTAATTCAAGCTGCTGATAAGTTGTAGTTCTCTCTGGTCTTACTTCTTACTTGATGTGTTCAAGAAGTTTCATGAAATATTGATTTTGTTTCCTCTTTCATCAAGTTTATTGTGTTAATCAGGTGTGATAGCTATGTCATGGTGTCCCTGTGACAGTTCATTTCTTCTTACCTGTGCCAAGGACAATAGGACAATTTGCTGGGACACAACTACTGGGGAGGTGCATAAGCAATCAATTCCTCAATAACTTATCTGATTTGCACCTCATAAATGTTCATCAACTGTCATTGTCCGCTTCTCTCTATATGTTTACTATGTTTGTTGTGCAGATGGTATGTGAATTGCCTGCTAGCACCAACTGGAATTTTGATATTCATTGGTACCCTAAAATTCCAGGAGTTATATCAGCATCCTCTTTTGATGTCAAAGTGGGAATATACAATATAGAGGTACTTGACTCATGGTTACTAGTAGTTTTTTCTGTTGCCATTACCACCAATGGTCCTGTTTGAAAGAAAATTCAGATTTTTTAAGCTTCATTTATATTATAATGATGGGTAAATTGAAAGGAAGTAAGAAAAGATGAAATATATTTTGTTGCATTTGAGAGATTCTTGAAGTGGTATGGATCACAAATATATTACAACCTTGTATGTTTTCCATTGTTGTTTCTCAAGAAGGCAAACTCCTCAATAGAGACAAAATGTTAAATCAAAACTTTCATGGATCGCCCATAAGATCGATAATCCTGGTGAAGCTTCATCGAGATTAAAGGATTGGATTGAATATAATTTCAGTCCATTGGTATTGTTTAGTCAATCTGAGTAGATCATGGTCGAGTTTTTTCTTTATAATAGTTTTAGTTTCTTTTTTCTTCAGTTTTGCTGTATTTTGGTAAATTTATCTTCTTTTTGGAGGAGCCATCACATTTAAATTAAGGTTTCCTTTAGTTGATTTCAGCCTTTTCAAATCTCTAGGTTAAGTTTCTCTCATGGTTCAACATTTCATCCAAGTTTGGGAGGTCCACTTATGGTACAAGGCTTACCACCTGTTAAGCCTTGTGAATCGAGCTTACGGCCCTGCACCCATCTTGCTTGTCCATTGGTCCATCTTGTCATAGACTTAACTATAATTGCTTAAGTTGTGAGACACCCAATCAACAACTGTCCATGAAGGTCAGCCTAAGTTTTAATCACTTGCGGTCTCGAAGGACCTGCAAAGTAGAAAAGAATTAGTCGAAGAGACTAATGACAGGCAAAATGCCGTCATCGTCTGGAAGGCGTAGAAACAAACAAAAGCAATAGGAAAGTCACATTGCAGTTCCGAAGTTGCTTGAGTTGGATTTAGTATAATCTAGGAGTTAAGTATAGTTAGGATTGGAGTTGGTTTAGGACTAATAAACATGGAACATGAAAAGATGAAATAGCTTAGGTCTCCATTTCTCCCCTTATGCAGTTCAGCCTTATCTTAAAATGTGAAGAATGCTTAGGAATCAAAATAAGCTGGAATTGATGGCTTCTGCATGAAATTGTTATCAAGCTGATAGCTACCTTTTTGCATCAGTTTTAACTGGATTCTGTCTTCCCACTGTGGAACTGTTTTGTAAGTAAAAAACAAAAACTTGTTTTTTCTTTCTCCTTTCTCACTTAGCCATGCTAGAAGAGTGTAGCCTGCGTGTGGGGCACAGAAAGGTTTATTTGATAATGTAAGGTAGAATGAAGTCTTTTCTGTGGCCAACAGGTCCTTTAAGTTATGTTTTCTTTTGTTTCTTTTTATATCTTTCTTTAATATGTCTAACTACTGTTGTATCTAACCAATATTTAAAAACTAATCTGTAATGTTGACCCTATGTACTATGTTCTAATTATTAATTTTTCCACAATATTTAGAAACGGAAAGGAAGATAAGGAAAACCTTTGATGCTGCCACAGCATCTAATTCTGCTTCATCTACGGGTGAGATGAGACTTAGGATTAGATGGTTTTTTTGAATGGAACTATTTCACAATGTTACTTCTGTAATATGATAAGCCCTATATGTAATCTTCAAGTTATTTCTTTACATTATGTAGCAGGTGAAAGGAGGAAAAGGAAAACCTTTAATGCCTATCACAGCATCTTCTATTCAACTCAATTTGTTAGTGGGATAGGACTTACAAATTAGATAGTAAGGTTTGGATGTAACTATGTTACCATGTTTCTTTTATCAAAGTTAATCTAATATGGTATTTAACTTCTGGGTAAATATTTTTATGGTTTGGGGAAAAATGGTGCTAAAAATATGCTATGTTTAAAAGTTCATATGAGAATAAAGTTATAGTTGTCAAATGAGTAATCACCTGTCATATTCGTCAACTATGTTAATTTGTATCTAGGATAAGTTTGTTACAAACAGAAGTTACTGTCCAATGTTGTGTTGATGACCTTGCCTAATCAGAATTTCTTCAGTAATTAAGTACAAGATTTGTGAATTAGCATCCTTAAGTAAGGTACATCTTCCTGTGTATATCAACTTTTTGTTGTTGCCTCTATGTGACAATGGCCAAACATTGATGTGTTATTGTTTGAAATAATGCAATGGTGAAGCAACTGTTTCTATTTCATTTTTTATATGCATTTTTTCTTCAAAATACAGTAGATTGATAAAGCAGGATGCTTGTTGTATAAGGTGTTTGATCACCAAAGAATGGCACTTTATTTCTGGAGCAAGGAGTATTCTTTTAGTTAGCTTGTTCCATGTTAAAAAATCTAAATATAGTCACTGTTTTCTGCAGGTTTGCAGTAAGCATGCAGCTGTAGAGGGTGAATTTGGTACTCCAGGTATATGCTTACTACTGTTGTAGTTTTACCACTTCATTTTGACAATTTTCTTCTGGTGAGGGTTTCCAAAAGATGGCTACTGGATGTATGCTCATAACTGTATTTAAAAAAAAATTCCTATGCAACGTGGGTGACTTGTTTAATTTGGTCAATTAATCAAGAGTAGATCAATCTTTCTACGGTAAGTGATACAGTGTAGGTTTGAGACCATTGAATGTTGGGAGTATAGCTGGTATCAAGGTTTAGTCTAGTATAATTTATATTATCATTTTCTTCTTTTCCATAGCTTCCATCTGAGTTTTTGCCATCATTTTTTGTTGCTATTATTAGAGAGTCCTTTGAGTCATATGTAGTTACATTCAAATTTTCAATACCTATTGTAAGTGTAGATTGGCTTGGAAGAGTTCTCTGAGTTCTGCTTTTGGAAGGTTTTAATGTCTCTTATGTAAGATTTTATAGAGCTCAGTGGCAGGAAAATATTTTTGTTTGAATAGTTGCAATATTAGAGTTCGTTGTTGTTGCTGGAAATTAATAGAGAGAAAATAGAATTGTGACTACCTGTAATATGTAACTGCCTATACATGCCATAGGTGTGGGTTATGTACCTGATACGTTGTGTTGTTATTAACTCATTAATATCAAATTATGTATTGAACAACTTATTGTGTTTTCCTAATGTATTGCATATACTGTTTTGATCTTGCTATGCCATGTGCTATGCAAAATACATTAGATTTGATTATGATTGTTTGATTCTGTATGTTCCAAGCTTTTCTTTTTTAAAAAAATTGGAAGATATTTTCTTCATGTTAAATGGCATACATGACATTCACACGTGGACTCAAATCTAAGACCCATCACTTGTGCAATGCTACACCAATCAACCTGAATGTCTCAACAGAGATTGTTCTGAGCTTTTCTTTAATGGCTCTACAATTGGAATGTTTGATTTTTTAACTATATAAATATTTCAAATAAAATAATGTCTAGGAAAACTTAAATCTCCCCCCTCCTGATTTCACTTTCTGTAAGTTCTGGACAGCCTGCAAGACACCAAATGATTCGATGTGAATTGCTCATGAGTTTGAGTTAATTTAGAATTTAATTTTGTTGGTTCTTTTTTTATAATTGTCTTTAGTATATCAGGACAATTTGGGACATTTTTTATGACTATTCTAATAGATGTAGGATCCTGTTGATGGGTTTATACAGGGTAAACTGTATGTCAAAATTTACATGTAAATTTTTCAATGATTATTGGATCTTTTGCCCCTCGCGGGCATCCATGCAAACCTCAGGTCATCTTAAACCCCAAGCTCTTTTCACTTTGCATTATTTAGTATTATAGATTTGCACAAGTTATCTATGAAACCATGGATGTATTAGAGCTTGGCAACACAAATTACTGTGGAACAGGAAGTAGTGGTACCAGACCATTGGAATGGCTCATGCTTTTGTATCTGATGATGAGTTTACAAATTTTCAATTAACAGTCGCTGGTTTCTTTTAACTGTTTGTCTACATAGGTGGTTGAGATTGAACATGATTGTTCATCTGTCAGTTAGCTGTAGTTGGGATCAATATGTATTATGTTGTATATACTTTAGTTTGGAATCTAATTGCATTTTTATGTCATTATGGTGGTTCATTAGTTTTGCTTGATCAACTTCAATCTTTGTTTTTGCATCACTTTTATGTTTGTCCTTCCAGTACGTTTGAGAGCTCCAAAGTGGCTTAGATGTCCAGTGGGTGTCTCTTTTGGTTTTGGTGGCAAGCTTATATCATTTCAGCCTTGCCAGTCAACACCAGAAGATCGATTACCTGCTTCAGAGGTAAACCTAGATTTTGTATCAATTTGTTGTTTGGTACCTTCATATTGAGCTTTTTTCTTTCTTTCAGGTATTCATGCATAATTTAGTCACTGAACATAGCTTGGTTAGCCGCTCCACTGAATTTGAAGCTGCAATACAAAATGGGGAAAAATCTTCGCTCTGTGCTTTATGCGAACAGAAGTCACATGATTCTATGTGTGTCATCTGTATGATAGTATCTAGTTTATAATCTATTCACATGATAAATTTTGTGTAACCATTTTTCTTTCACTTAACAGATCTAAAGATGACAGAGAAACATGGGGCTTCTTGAAGATTATGTTTGAGGAAGAGGGAACAGCTAGGACTAAGTTGCTTTCTTATCTTGGTTTCACTGTGCCAGAGGAGTGTAGTGATATATACAGTGACCTTGATAATTTGGGAAAAGGCCTAGAAAACACACTTAGTCTTGATACAAGATCATCGGTTGAAGTTGATGGGAGTACATACTCTATTGACAATGGAGAAGAATTCTTTAACAATCCTCAAATTAGTAAGGATAGTTCAGCTTATGAAGAGAAGAGCGTTCCTAATGTGGAGAAGGCTCAGAAAGAACCCGAAGAACCTTCAAGGAGTTATGATCTGTCATTTGATGACAGTATTCAACATGCCTTGGTTGTTGGAGACTATAAGGGAGCAGTTTTACGGTGCATCACTGCAGACAGAATGGCCGATGCATTAGTAATTGCACATGCTGGTGGTTCCTCATTATGGGAGAGTACAAGAGATCAGTATCTTAAGAATAGTCTCGCACCCTATTTAAAGGTATTAATTTTTTATCTGAGCATTAATCTGCAATGTGTGTTAAAGACATTTGTTTTATCCATTGTATTATTGTGGGCTGTTTAGGGATGCCTTGTACAAAAAATTCTTTTGTCATAGTTGCTTGAGGGTAGTAATCTGATTCTGATGTTTCCATTTTAAGGTTGTATCTGCACTGGTGAGGAATGATCTCATGGCTCTGATTAATACCAGACCTCTGAAATCATGGAAGGAAACTCTTGCTCTTCTTTGCACAGTAAGTTCTCCTGCCTTTAGTATGTTATTCAACCAACTTTGCTGTCATCTTTTTATTACTTTTAATTTCTAAATATCATCTATTTAATTAATTTTTATCGGGCTCCTATAGAGGAAAAGCCTTGCCTTCATGGTTAACTCCTTTGCAACCTCGTTAAACCGGCATCAAATTATGGAAATAGCTTCTTCTTTGTAGGTGTAATTTTACCTAAATATAAAAATATGAAAAATGTCAAAGAATAATAGATACGAATTAACATAAATGACATGTAATTCTGATCTTTCTACTGCCTTCTTTCTGTTGTTGTATCCCTGAATCTACATTAGTAAGGATTTGACTATTACTGAATTTTTAGCAGGTCAGTTATCATCTGACAATTTGATTCTGCATCAAATATTAATGTGCGATGCGCTATTTTCATTTCTATTGCATCAGTTATCATCTGATAGTTTGATTCTGCATCAAATATTAATGTGCGGTGGCACTATCTTCATTTCTATCACAGAAGTCACTGATCTTATGCAACCGTTATGTAACAGTTTGCACAGAAAGAGGAATGGACTGTTTTATGTGACAGTCTGGCTTCGAGACTTATGGCCGTCGGAAATATGCTTGCTGCAACTCTCTGCTATATATGTGCTGGAAATATGGACAGAACCGTGGAGATATGGTCACACAGCCTGAAGCTCGACTCTAGAGGAAAGACTTATATAGATCTTCTTCAGGTAACTTCTTTGGCAACAAGATTAAATTACTTATGTAAACCACTAGGTTATGATTACCTTTCTTTGTCATAGGATTTAATGGAGAAGACAATTGTCCTCGCCCTTGCAACGGAACATAAGCAGTTTAGTGCATCTTTGTCGAAACTTGTGGAGAACTATGCTGAACTACTAGCTAATCAGGGGCTTCTCACCACTGCAATGAAGTATTTAAAACTATTGGGATCTGAAGAATCATCAAATGAGCTTGCTATATTGAGAGAGAGAATTTCTATCTCTGCTGAAGGTTGTCCAAAAGAGTTAATAGATATACTATGATCTATCTTATCAGCTTAAATAATCTTTATCTTGCTTGATGATGATTATACAACTGTGCTTGCACTATTTTGATTATATTAAAACCTGTAGGTGATGAGAAACTTGAGCAAGTCATTTTGACATACAATCTTGATTCTCTCATACAACTCTTACGCTCTTAGCCCCATCGCATGCTTCTACTTTGTTTATTGACTGAAGCATGCAAGTGTTTAAGCACCCTATAGTATTTCTATGTGGGCCTTTTCCTTGAATGTAAGTTTTGTACCTGTTTTATGTATTGTCGTTGTGGCTATTTTCATGTAGAAGTAGACGAATAAAGAGTGTCCTGCTTCTGAAATTTTTACCCTTCTAAAAATTTTTTTCTCTTCGTACCTAGTTGGTATGACAAGTAAACCAGAACGTGTTTTGTTTGGGATACTGGGGCTTTGAGATCTGTTTTCTTTGTCTCATGCTATATCTTCCCTCTGTTAAGATGCTGCCTATGATTGTTTTTGTTCTTTTCTCTTTTTTTTCCCCTGTTGTTTCTGGTTAGGCGGATGCGGAAATGTTAAACTTTTTGCAAGTTGCTTATCTGCCATGTAATTAACCAAATTTGTAGATCTGCATTTTTTTTCTAGATCTGAAATTTTAATATGCTATTATATCATACTTTTACATTCTTTGTCAGAAAGGGATGTGCCGAAAAGTCTGCCTTATCGAAGTGGTGCATCACACACTGAATCTTTATATGGTGCAGATCAATCTGGTTATGGAGTGGATTATTCACAGAATTATTATGAGGTTTTCTTCTTCAGCATTTTCAATGTTGAATTTTTTTGTTATTCTGTTAAATATCTTGCTGAGTAGATCATTGATCTTATGGACTAATAATTTTTTGAGGGTGATCAAATTAGGATAAGAACCTTTCCCAACCACTACTCCAATTACATCAGAATGTTGCTGACACTTCACGTGCTGAGGGCTTTCACCAAGTTCCTGGTTCTGCTTATGGGGGAAATCAACTTGTGCAACAGAAACCACAGGTCCCTGATTTTAGCAACCAGAGGTTATTTCATCCATCACAGCCATCTCAAAATTTTATACTATCACATACGAGCCAGATTTCACAGGTACTTGTTATATGACTCAGTGACAATGAACAGTTGCTGCTTATTGTGTTTCCTTGCTCTTCATCATTGAACTATACCAATAATTAACTTCTGTTATTTTGCTGTCCTCATATTAGCTAATACATTTTTTTTCATCTCTAACATCAAAAATGTTGTCATTCAGTTTGATTTGGTTTTCAATCGGTTATGCAAAATTTATTTGATTCCAATGTTGTTTAATATTTGATTGAAAGATTTAATATTTTATTTGATTCCAAGGTTGCAAAATTTATTTATTATTTTATATGATTCCAGATTTATTTGATTATTGAAAGATAAGTCCTGACGGGCAATTTTTTTAAGAATCATCTATTTCAATTTGGTTGCACTTTTATGTTTAGTTGCATATATTAAACTAAGGAGTTTGTACAATAACACTGTTTCAAATCATTTTTTTCTTGGGCTCATTTAGTATATGGTCATGGGACATGTCTATTCTTGCAAGAATCTGCAGGGAACAAAACAGATAATTTATTAGTATATAGTTTCTTTGTGGATTTAATTTTAACTTTAATACCAAAAGATCCAATTCTTTGAAAGCTTTGTGCATTGTGATAGAACTACATTATGAACAGCTTCAAAAAAATCTGAAATAATGAATTTTTTAATTTATTTCTAGCCTAGAAAATCTGGGTACTTGTTTGGTATATGGTTGATTGTTCGTTTACATTTGTCAACTTAGGTAGTGTTGGAGGGTCTTTCTGGTGTGGAATAGTTTACGTATCAAGTTTTCTAACGTTTCCTATATTAATTGCATGTGTTAATTATACTTTCTTGTATTCTGAGTGAACCCCTATTTTTATCCATGAATATACTCTGTTAACATTTTTGTTTGGTGACAGCAAGCTTTCACTTCACCTGCTACAATGGCACAGCCAACAATGAAACCCTTTTCTCCTGCAACTCCTGCGGCTCTCAGAAATGTTGAACGCTATCAGCAGCCCAGCTTGGGTTCTCAGCTATATCCGGTCTGTCTTCCTTGGACATGTAATCAGCATATTATTTATTGTTTATCTGAATTGTTTTTCTTCTTTTCTTAGGGAGCTGCCAATCCTCTCTATCAACATGGACCTCCCATTCCTTCTCCACAAGATGGTGGTGCATCTCAGCCAGCATTTGTTACTGGGCAAAGGTTTGCACAACCCATCTCAACTACAACAGCACCAAGGGGTTTCATGCCTGTTTATAATCCAAATTTTGCTCAGAGGCCTAGTATAAGTCCTGTGCATCCGTTAAGCCCAACAAAATCATCAGAAGCACGGCCTGTGGGTGTTCCTCCAACCACTCCGCCTACAGTGCAAACAGTTGATACATCAAATGTTCCTGGTAATGCTTCTCCATGATGAAATTCAAAATTTTGTTTTGTCATGTGCTGCTGTGTCTTGCCTTTTGTGTTGCTAGCATTAATTAAGGCATTGATAACATGTCATGTGCTGCTGTGTCTTGCCTTTCATGTGAGTATATTTGACATTTGACTATGCCCACAATCTCCTCGATGTCTAAGACATACCAACAAGAGGTACACTCACTTGATAAAGGAATGAACTAGAACTTGAACTTATTGTCCAGTCTGCTCTGATGCAAATCAGCTCGCCCAGACAGTTCTGACCTTATGGCTTGTGTTGTCCTTGTGCGACTCTCAACTTAAGTTTGTGCTGAAAGAACTAGTCACCTTTCTGTAGCAGGACATGTTGTGTTGAGGTATTTTGGCAGCAAATATGACCATTGTCATATGTTTGAGATGATGTATAGTTTCTAATGCACTAAACATTTGAGTCTAACATGTAACAATAATATCTTAGTTTGTTTGATCTGCATAACCTATTAGTTCATATGACTGCTGGATAAGTATTATTTTCAACTAATTCAAATTTATTGATATTTAACATCCATGATCTTTGTTTGTGTTCTTCACAAGGTTGCATATGTTCACAGAAAAGAATTTATGGCCACATCCATTCGTAGGTGGTGATGGGCAGCTCTATGGCTTGCACGATTTAAATTTTTGTAATGAACATTTTTTCCTTTTATTTTTGTGTTTTCTGACAGCTGAATGGAAGCTTGTCATTGCTACCTTAACGAGACTATACAACGAGACATCAGCAGCTCTTGGAGGATCTAATGCAAATCCATCTAAAAAGAGGGAAATTGAGGATAACTCGAGGAAAATTGGGGCCTTGTTTGCAAAACTTAACAGTGGGGACATTTCTCCAAATGCTGCTGCTAAGCTTGTCCAACTTTGCCAGGCTTTGGATGCTGGAGACTTCGCTGGTGCATTACGTATCCAGGTATGCTTATTACATGCTAAAAAGTTATTTCTCATAGTGAGTACCAGCTTTATTCAAATCTTTAAAGCATATAAGCTCCATTGAGGGCATTAATGAATCTACTATGATCGTGACTTCTTGCTTTGGTTTTTTGCTCTTATCTCTGGTCACTTAGTGCCCTTTCTGTGCTTCAGTTGTTTAGATGTTCAATTTTAAGAAGTACATGAAGCTTGAATGTTTTCTAAATAAAGAGAGAGACTGAGAATTATCTGCAGTTTTAGTTTTCTCTCTCCAGATTAGAATATCATTAGCAACTTCTGTTGCTGTTTTTCGCCTTTCAAATTTGTTTTGTAGTTGGGCATGTCTAATCTTTTGGCTCATTAAATTCTGCTGCAACAAATGATGGCTTGACTTTAGGGTGTTTACTAATGTTATTTTAGCTGCTGACTTGACATTTGAGTGAACCTTAATAGTACTAGAAATTAGTAAAATATATTACGAGTATTTTGGTGTTATTGCTTCTCTTGCATGTTCTTTTTTTTGGACGAGTCTATCATGTTAACCTTGCTATTTTGTGTTGATTGAATCTTTGGCAATCTACAGTGCATACCTAAATCACCTCCACACAACTCACTTTTGTCATGGGTATTTTGTTTCATGGTGACAGGTGGTGTTGACAACAAGTGATTGGGATGAGTGCAATTTCTGGCTCGCTGCATTGAAGCGAATGATCAAGACGAGGCAGACTGTTAGATTATAAGGGATGTGATGAGGCATTCTTTCTCTTGGGCTATAGTGTACATTGGTTTTCCTTATAGTTGACATCATTATTTGTAGATCAATAACCTTTCGCATATGCATCTTCGATAGAGCAGCAGCTAAGGTCTCCCATCAAAATGGGCTAGGGTATATTTCGAGAATCAGGTTTGATGATGTTCTCAATAATGTTATATGGTGTGGATATTTTCATATTTATGGCATTTGTTCTACAGTTTCTAATAGTTTTGACAGTGCAATTGTGGATTTCTTAAATACACATCTAAAATGTTTGGGAGTATGTTTGTTCATCTTAATATCAGTGACTGATGACACCTTCCAAATCACAAATCTACTAGAAACTGCACTTTTCATGCACCTGCTGCGCCAGACCAGATTATCAAGGCATTTTCGATCTATTCTTAACCAAACAAGGAAGCTGATTCCCTACCTTATTATCAACACTATTAAGGTCAAAAGGATCTTTGATATGAAATGCCCTTTGGTGTATTTTTTGAGTGGATGTATTTTTGGTGAGAACTGCATACTTTGTAATCAGGTTATAAGAAAGAAAGGTCAATGCCTTCTCTTCACTCTTGGAGTTGCTTAGCCAAAGCTCTCTTGTTAGCAAGTTGATGAAACTGTTCAGGTGCTAGGAAATATCTTTTTTCCTTAGAAGAGTACAATCCTCTTTCATATGATGTGGTTGGTGATGGAATTAACTCTCTTAACTTTGTTCAGTACTCTTTAACAAACTCATTCTTTCCCAAAATTATTGATTCAGTATCTTTCTACTCACAAAAGAATTATTCTCCTTTTTTTTTCTGTTTAACAGTTTTGCTGATTCCTCTTTATTTATTCTCCATCATCCAGAAGGCATCATCATTCTACTTATCTATATGTATGATTTTGTGTTGATCGGAAGTAGTTGCAGCCTTCTTGCTCGATTTGATTTTCTCATCTTCAACATGAACAGGCTATCAAGGATCTTGGTTTTCTTCACTATTTCAAGGCTTTGATCTTTTCCTTAGCACAAGTATGTTTCTGATCTCGAGAATGCCAAAATGACTGAAAACTAATGATATCTAAATTATACTCTTCAAGATAACACTCATTCCTTGATTCTCCTCTTTATAGATGTTTACAACAATTTTGATTACCTTATAATAAGGATTTATTATTATTAATGTAGTTTTAAGTTTTTTGGATCAATGATCGTTGTTATTAGTATTAGAGTCAACTAGTTGGCTCGAGCATGAAATTGGTATTGAATAATTGGGTCATGGGATATATCATAGTATAGACTCATCTCATGATGATTATGGACTATGTGAATGAGATTATAATAAATTGAAAAATATATTTAAAAATATATCGGATTTGGTTTAAAATCGGTTAAACGATGTATGACTCAAAATAGATTCATTATCCATAGGTAGATATGTTGATTAATTGATGGATGTTTTGGAAGAAAACATAAGCCAAGTGTTTTTTTTATTATTTGATTTACACAATCTTGCTCTTTTGAGGGTTGGGATTCAAAAAATCAGGTCACAAGAAAAATATGAAGTTTTTGTTAGTTCACCAATAACTGTAATCAAATCTTAATAACTAGAATACTAATTCTCAAATCACTCCCCAAATTAATCATAATTTTCGAATATCCTTACGTCACATCTGCATAGGTAGATTCAGATGTACTTCCATGATACATAAGGAATATAATTAGTGATATATTTTGTTATTTGAATAATTTTGTGAACTTTATAATCATACATGCAATTGGAGAGGAAAACCAATTTAGCAATTGACTAGTGATAGAGGATATAATTAATTTTTCAAAGTAAATGCATGGACATTAATACTTGGACAATTAGTAGCGTCACATCAATGTTTGTCGAGCCTCTTTCATCCGTGGAAACTACCACCTCAATGGTCAATTACGATATCTACTTATCTCTAAGAGGTAATTACAAAGTTTTGAATCCTCAATCTTCCGTAGGAGATTTCGAATCCTCTTTCACTGGTCAATCTAGCAATTGACTAGTGATAAATGATGCAATCATCTCAATATTTGTCGATCCTCTTTCATCTATCCAAACTATCACCCCAACGGTCAATTGACATCCTTTACTATGAATAAATTAAACTCAAAACATTTATTTATCAATAATTCAGATTTAGAAAGTAAATGAATTCATTATCCATAATTAGATATTTTGAAAGAAAAGATAGGCCAAGCTTTTTTCTTTTTCTTTTTTTTCACTTACATAATCCTGTGTATAAAGAGGATCAGGATTCAAGAAACCAAATCACAAGAAAATATAAAGATTTTGTAAGTTACCCAATAATTACAATCAAATTCAATAACTAGATTACTAAATTGCAAATCACTCCTTGATTATGTCATAATTTTCATATATTCTTATCGATGCTAGTAAACAAAGCTATTTTTGTGAAGGAGTAGTGCCTTCTTGGGATACAAGGCAAATACACTTCCTAGGTTCATATGTATGTACCTTAGAGGCACATAAGGAATATGAATACAATTAGTGATTTGTTTTGCTATTTAAAAAAAATATTAAACTTCAGAATCATTCATGTATTTGGATAGAAAAATAAATCTAGCAATTGACTAGTGATAGTAACTTTCAAAGCTAATACATGAACATTAGTATCTCAATGTTTGCCGTGCCTCTCTCATCAATTGCTGCACATACATACTTACCCCTAAGAGATAGATTTGAATCCTCAATCTTGGTAAGTAGATTTACTATTGATAAATTGGCTCATAACATTTTTTTTATCGACAATTCAGGTCTAGAAAGTAAATAGATTAGTCATCCATAATTAAATACGTTGATTACTTGATCGATATTTTGGAACAGAACATAGGCCAAGCTTTTCTTTTTTTACTTGTACAATCCTGGACTTTTGAGGGTGAGTATAGTGGAGTAGGATTCAAGTAAATTACACCAATAATTACAATCAAATCTCAATCACTAGAATATTAAATCACAAATCTGAATTATGTCATAATTTTGATATATCCTTACATCATATCATAGTCATGATGCTTGTAATTGAAGTTATTCTTGTGACATAAGGAGTAGTAGTGCATGCATGAATACGAGGCAGATGTGCGTACATGTCCCTTGATGGTACATAAGGAATATAATTATTGATATATTTTGTTAATTTATTTTTTTTGTGAACTTGGGAATCATACATGTATTTCGAGAGAAAAATCAATCGACTAGTGATAGAGGATAAAATTGACTTTTCAAAGTCAATATATAGACATTGACACCTCAATAATCAGTATTGCCATCTCCATATTTGTCGAGCCTCTCTCATCTATCCAGATTACCATCTCAATGGTCAATTAAGATACCTATTTGTCCTAAAGAGATAGTTAGATCACCTCAATGAATAATTACATCGTCAAATTATCCTCGAGAGATAATTATGTTATCTTAGTAGATGGTTACATTACCTTGACAAGTCATTATACTACTGAGGTGATAGTTAGGTCACCTCATTAACATTGAGATAACAGTTAAAACACATCATATGTCATCTCAACAAGCAGTTGTACCCTCACGATAATTGCCCTAATGACTTTAACCATCGATAATTACGAACCCTAGTATAAATAGTCTCTTATTCTTTTTTCTTTCTTCCGCATCCCACATCCTTTTACGCATCAGACAATATTATAACTTGAGTGCCAGAGGGATCTAGTCAAGCTTCCTCGATCTTGGTCTTATTATAGGAACCGAGACAACACTATATATATCATGTTGGTATCCAATTCGACATCCTCTTAATATCTCATGTCGCTTAATCCACTCACATCTCAAACGTGAATTGTCACTCCATCATCATCATCATTCCTCGAGGACGTTAACAAATAACAAATTTTAGTAGAGAGCATTCTTATACTCTCGTTTGCTTAAAGTAATATAATTATTTATCTTTTGAAAAGAAAATTATGGTGAAAATATGATATATTTTAATTATGTAGGAAATTCTTTAATATGGATAACAAAGGTTCCAACACATCAAAAAAAAAAAAACAGACCTTCCCTCCGTGGATATAAATTATAGGCATCTATTAGTCATATGCCCACTTGCACGAAAAGGGAAGATGGTCCTAGCGATCCCAATCACATTGAAACTATATAAAAGTATAGCAACACATGAACACTTCAATCAACATGTAACCAAAGGACAAACGCCATAGCTTTATTAGCCATCTAAGTGTGATGAACAACTTGGGGTTTTCGTGGCAAAGTAAAAAGAGCTTTCAATGATAGTGCTTGAGAAGCACTTGCAACACTTGCCTTTCCATTGTTTAATTCATCCAAAATCCCTCATCAATTGTATCCAACGTATCCTCCTCAACTTCAATGCAAACATAGTGGATATACATATATAAAGTAATGGCCAAGTCATTCCCCAATCAATCCAATCATCAATCAATCACAGACATTGCCACCTCCCCGCACCCAACTTGCTTTATGATTCGCGCCGGCACTGAGTCCTCGTCACCTGTTAGTTCTTGTACACCGTCGTGGCTTCAGCCGGCCTATTTGTCACTGCCACGGGTCCCACTCCAAATATCTACCGCCCTTCCATCACACGTGTCCGTCTGCGACTGCACGCGCCGCGGTGCGGCCACGAGGGTCAACCGTGACCGACCCAGCACATCAAATCACCGTCGACCGTCTCTCCCCCGTCGACTCCCCCTTACCCATCCCCGATCGATCCCTTTCCCACTTCGACCGGCCACCGAATGCGCGCAGTATCGTCTCCTTCCTCAATAGTTACCGATCGTGTCAGTTCTTTCCTTGCACGAACACCTTCGCTTACCCTTTACTAGTAGTAATCCCCAAGTCTTCGCGCCCCCCCCACCACCCCACCTTTCCTCTCTCCTTCCAGTCCCCACCTCCCACGCACCCGCAGGTGCCTCCCTCGATCTCTCTTTATGCTCCTCTTTTGAGCTGTACCGCCGATTTCGATCTTGTTTTATTTTGGTTCTTGTAGGCGACTGCTGATTTGGGGAATTGGGAGCTTGGTGTAGTTGGTGGTGAGGATTCCGGATGAACGTAAGGAGGAGCATGGGCAGGGCGTCGCCGCTTTTCCTGGTCTTGCTGGGATTAGGGGTTTTCTTCGCGACCTACAACCTGGTCACGTTGGTCATCCACCACCAGCGGCGGGAGCGGCGGGCGGAGCTGCCCGG